ACTGGAAAGCATTACTGATAACATAAAGAGCCAATTAACATATATTTTATATGTATTTGTATTATGTACTATAGTCTTACAATAAAGTAAACTAGAGAAAAGCAAATGTTAAGAAAATCAACAGGAAGAGAATATACATTTATAGTACTATACTATATAAAAAAAATTCACAGGTAAGTAGACCTCCATGTTCAAACGTGTGTTATTTAAAAGTAAACTGTAGGGGCACCTGGGTTGCTCAGTGGGTTGGGGCCTCTACCTTCAGCTCAGGTCGAGATCCCAGGGTTCTGGGATCGAGCCCCACATCGGGCTCTCTGCTCAGCAGGAAGCCTGCTTCCCCCCTCTCTATCTGCCTGCCTCTTTGCCTACCTGTGATCTCTGTCAAATAAATGGATAAATCTTTAAAAAAAATAAATAAAAATAAAAATAAAAGTAAACTGTAATTAAAAAGAAGAAAAACAATAAAGTATATATGGAAATAGATTATAAAAAGATGCATAGCAGTAAAAAAAAAAAGTCAATGAACGCAAAATGTTTATTTAGAAAGATCACTAGGATTAACAAACTTTTACCTAGACTGAAAAAGAAAAAACAAGACAGAAAATATTACCAATATGAGGATGAAAGATCACTAGAGAGCCTATACGGATTAAAAGGATAATGGGATATCATGAACAATGCTTTGCAATAAATTAGACAAATGAAATTGTAAGGTGAATGATCAAAATTAAGAAACAGAAAACATTAAAAGCCTTTAAAATTGAATTCAAAATTTTAAAACTTCCAAAAAGGAAAACTCCAGATCCAGATGGCTTCACTAGTGAATGCTATCAACCTTTCAAGGAAGAAATAATACGAATCCTAAAGAAACTTTAAGAATTAGAAAAGAATGAAACACACCTCAACTCAATTTATGAAGTCAGCAATACTCTGATAACAAAACCACACAAAGACATTATGAGAATAGAAAATTAAATCCCTTGGGGTGCCTGGGTGGCTCAGTGGGTTAAGTGTCTGCCTTCGGCTCAGGTCATGAACCCAGGGTCCTCTAAACCTGAAATACTCTGGAATAAACTTATTAAGATACACCTATAAGATGAGACTCACAAAACACTGCTGAGAGAAACTGAAGACCTAAATAAATGGGGAAATAAACCACAGTCATTGATTAACTCAATCTTATTAAAATATAATTCTCAGGGCACCTGGGTGGCTCAGTGGGTTAAGCCTCTGCCTTCGGCTCAGGTCATGATCTCAAGGTCCTGGGATCGAGCCCCACATCGGGCTCTCTGCTCGGCGGGGAGCCTGCTTCCCCCCCACCGCCCCCACCTGCCTCTCTGCCTACTTGTGATCTCTCTCTGTCAAATAAATGAATAAAATCTTAACCAAAAAAAAAAAAAAGTATATATATATATATATATATATATAAAATTCTCCACAGATTGGTTACATAGATTAAATGCAATCCCAATCAAAATGCGAAGCTGCTGCTAAATTTCACACAGAAAGGACCTAGAATAACTAAAACACTTAAATTTTAGGGGGACTCACACTACAGGATATTAAGACTTACTATAAAACTGGAATAATTAATTTTTTAAAAACCTGGAATAATCAAGGCAGTAGTGTGTTGTAGAAAAATGCCACTTATCAATGGAACAGAATTTAGAGTCTAGAAATATCTCTATACATATATGGTTGACAGATTTTCAAAATTGTTACAAAAGTAATTCAATGAGAAAAGGATAACCATTTCAATGATACATTTTTGGATAAAACACAAACCACAAAACAAAAAAATTGGTTAGTTGGAACTTCATCCAAAATTTAAAAGCCATTGTTAAGAAAAGTCACTATTAAAGAAAAAAGCCACAGAATGCAAAAAATATATAGCTGAGAAGCACATGAAAAGATGTCTAACATCACATCATTCAGTGAAATGCAAATTGAAACTACAATGAGATACCACTTTAAATTCACAACGATGGGGGCATCTGGTAGCTCAGCCAGTTGGACATCTGCTTTTGGCTTGGGTTGTGATCCCAGGGTCCTGGGATTGAGCCCCATGTTGGGTTCCCTGCTCAGCAAGGAGTCTGGTTCTCCCTCTGCCCCTCCCCCTGCTCATGCTCATTCTCCCTCTTAAATAAATAAATGAAATCTTAAAAAAAATATTCACGAAGATGGTTGAAATTTAAAACACCAAATGTTGGCAAGGATACAGAGAAACTTTGATACACTGTTGCTGGAAACATAAAATGGTACAACAAATACTCTGAGAAAACTCTGGCAGTTTCTTTTTTGTTTTTTAATATTTTATTTATTTATTTGATAGACAGAGATCACAAGTAGGCAGAGAGGCAGGCAGAGAGAGGGGGAAGCAGGCTTCCTGGTGAGCAGAGAGCCCAATGTGGGGCTCGATCCCAGGACACTGGGATCATGACCTGAGCCGAAGGCAGAAGCTTTAACCCACTGAGCCACCCAGGCACCCCATTCTGGCAGTTTCTAATAAAACTAAACACATACCTACCCTATGACCAAGAAAAACATATGTCTGAACAGACTTGTACAAGAATGTTCACAGCCACTTTATTTACAGCAGTCAAAAATTTAAAACTGCCCAGGAGTTCATCAAAAGGAGAAGACCTAAATAAACTGTGATATATTCAGTCAATGGACTACTACTTACTATTATTCAGTAATAATGAGGAATGAGCTACTTCTATATGAAACATGGATGAATCTCAGAACAACATGCTTAGTCAAAGAAGCTTTACACAAAGGAGTACATATTGTATAATTCAAGTTCATGAATAGGTAAAACTAAGCTATAGTGAAAATAATAAAAATAGCATTACCTCTGGGGTAATGGGTACTGGACTGACTGGAAAAGGGTGTAGAGAGAATTTTTTGGAATGATGTTATGTTGTATAACCTGATTGGTTTGAGTTACACAGGTGTATGTATTTGTCAAAACTCACCTAATGGCGCATGTTAGTTTCATGCAATTTACTGTACATGAACTTACATTTTAAAAAGTGTGTTGTGTGTGTGTGTAGTTATTTTTATGTATAATGAAGTGTTGAGGGGTAAAATCTATTGATATCTACCATTTATTTCAAAATGCATCACAAAATGAAATAAACTGTCGAATGGAAAGAGGAATGGGTAAATGGACAAACATACCAAAGCAAATATATCAAAATATTAGCTGCAGAATCTAGCTAGTGTATATATGGATATTCACTGTACAATTCTTTCATATTTAAAGTTACCATAATAAAATGGAAAAAAGTCTTTTTTTTTTTTTTTAGATTTTATTTATTTATTTGACAGACAGAGATCACAAGTAGGCAGAGAGGCAGACAGATAGAGAGAGAGGTGGAAGCAGGCTCCCCGCAGAGGAGAGAGCCTGATGTGGGGCTCAATCCCAGGACACCGGGATCATGACCTGAGCCGAAGGCAGAGGCTTTAACCCACTGAGCCACCCAGGCGCCCCCAAAAGTCTTATTTTTAAACTAAAAGTTGCAAGAGACTTAAAAATGTTCAGGCATGTGGGTGCCTGGGTGGCTTAGTCAGTTACGCATTCAATTCTTGGTTTCCACTCAGGTCATGATCTCAGGGCCGTGAGACCAAGCCCTGCATCAGGCTCCACATTCAATGCAGAGTCTCCTGGAGATTCTCTCTCCTTCTGTTTCCCTCTCCTCCTCTCCCCATTCACACACACACTCTCTCTCAAATAAATAAATGAAATCTTTAAAAAATGCTCAGGCATATTTGAAAAAGAACCAAATGTTACTTATAGAAATGAAAAATGTATGGCTAAAATTTTTAAAACTTCAACAGTGGTGCGTAGTTATATGAATTCACAGAAAAAAAAATCACTTAAAAGAAAAATAGACAAAAGATTTGAACACACTCTTCACAAAGAGGAACACAGAATAAGACATGAAAAATTGCTCAACCTAAAAGCAACCTCAGAAATAAAAATTAAAACCACAATGAACTACTATTTTATACCCATTAGACTTACATGATATAAAATAAGACTGCAACAAGTGCTGGTGAGATTAGAGCAAAAATAAGTCTTACATGCTGCTAGTGAGTGTGAACTGATACAAGTACTGTGCAAAACATCTGGCATTACAAGTTAAAGATGCTTATATAATCTGACTTCGCATTCCACTACAGAAAATCTTATAAATGTGCACCAGGTAACTGATAGGAGATTTCACAGTGGCATTGTTTGTAATAATAAAATAATGGGAACAACAGAAATGTCCATTATCAGTAGAATGGAAAAGAAATTTTTGAAATACAGTCAAACAATGGAATCCTAGAGCACAGTGAAAACAAATGGATGAAAGCTACAGTTGTCATTACCTTGGCTCAATCTCAGGAATATAATAGTAGGTAAAAATAAGCAAGCTGTAGAAGAACAGATGTAATATGGATCCATCAACATGTTGTGTAGGAATAGAAATACATGTAACAAAACTATAAAGAAAAACAAGTGATAATTAAAAAATTAAGGATTTTAATTTCATTTGAAACAGAGAGAAGATCCAGGAGAGGCCTAAAAGGTAATGAAAATATTCTACTTTTTTTTTTTTTTTAAGATTTTATTTATTTATTTGACAGAGAGAGACACACGGTGAGAGAGGGAACAGAAGCAGGGGGAGTGAGAAAGGGAGAAGCAGGCTCCCTGCCGAGCAGGGAGGCCCATGCAGGGCTCAATCCCAGGACCCTAGGATCATGACCTGAGCTGAAGGCAGATGCTTAATGAATGAGCCACTCAAGCGCCCTGAAAATGTTCTACTTAAACTGGTATTCAGATGTGCCTTATATGGGTCATCTTTATACGTTACATAATAATTTGTAAATATTATTTTGGATTTATTCAAAGTTTATTTAATATAGTATATTTAATAAAATATAATAATACATGATTCCTAAAATACATAAAACTGTAAAATTGGTCCTTAATAATATTCTTTGCCTACCCGAAAAATCTTGTGCATCCTCATGGTGGCTGAACAAAAGATAAATCTTGTGAGAAGCAAGCGAAGAAACTCATCTCCAAAAAACTGGAGAAATGCTTGATCTGCAAAGAGGAGAAAGATGATAGTAAAAAGATGCTTAAAAGAAAAACTCAGAAAGTTTGGGAAAACCTTCTCGACTTTCCTGCCTTCAACAAATACCTTTAAAAATTCAAACAATTTCAATAATATAAAACCATTATAGTATGTTAAGTGTGCAGTTATATTAGTAGGGTACCTATTGAACGTGAATGGGTCAGTAGCTGGGCAATATCACGGTTGATTTTTCGAAGATATTCTTGACACTTTTCCCATAGGCCTCTGCGCATGCTTGACAATCCAGAGACAAATAGGAAGGCCATTAGAGGATTGTTCAAAAAGAGAGTGAAGAGGCTACCTCGTTGAGATTGATCTGTAATAACAAACATGTTATATATATATAGACAACAATATATATAGTTTTGCAAAAGATAAGAAATGCACTTGAGGAATATTTCAATATGATGATAATATACAAAATTAAAGCTGTATCATTAAATCATAATTCAATAAAGTAAATTCTGTCTGGAAATACAAAAACATCCCAGGTATGCTGCTTTCTGCTGAACAAACTCAAGACAGAGCCTCGTACACTTAAGGGAAATGAAAAAGGAACATATTCCTTTGCCTTTTTCACTCCAACTAACAAATTTTACCCAGATATGGCAAGTACCTGGGCAGCTCATGACAGAATTCTCGGATGAGTATTAGAATTGGCAATCTTTTTCATTCCCTTTTGTTCGTTGCTCTTTCTTTGCTTATCCCTTAAATATCAATATTTTCTTCCTTTGACCCTATATATTGCTGATCTCACCTACTCCCATAATTTCAGGTATCACTTATATGCCTACTGACTCCCAGTTCTCTTATCCACAGCCTAGACTGAGCTCGTTAGGCCTAGAACAGCACTGCCCTACAAGAGCTACTAGACACTTAAAATATGACTGGTACAAAGTGAGGTACACTGTGAAATGTAAAATGTAAACTATGTGTAGGACTTCAAAGCCTCACTACAAAAAGGCAAATGAACAGAAATTTCACCTGTTAAACTTTTTTCAATGTGGCTACTTGAAAATTTAAAATTACATGTGATTTGCATCATCTTCTATTGAACAGAGTTGCTCTACACTATAATATTCAACCTAAGTTTCAAGGGTAACCTCAAACCCAAGATGTCAGAAATGGAAAGGAAATTCTTCCCCCTTGTGTTCTCTACAAATCTGCTTCTTACCCAGTACCACCATTTCTATGAGCAACTTAGCCAGAAACCCAGAAGTTCACCTCTGCCTCCTTCTTCTCCCTTATTCTCTCATATCCAACCCATCACCAAATCCTGCTGGCTCTCTGGGCTCAGCATCTTTTGGAGCCACCACTATCTCCCTGTTTCCATCAATGCTCCTCTCCAATCCATTCTCCACAAGGTGAATGAATGCTCTTCCATGCTACTCTTCTGTTCACAATCTTTTGATGGCACCCCCGTCTTCCAGTTAAAGCTCTTCACAAATCCTGAAAGATTTTCATGATTCAGTCACACAATCCCACACCCTATCCTTCCACTAGCAGGATGTACTTTAATTTTCCTAAATGTTCCATAAACTGAGGCACCTGGCTGGCTCAGTGGGTAGAGCACATGACTCTTGATCTTGGGGTTTTGAGTTTGAGCCCCACGTTGGGTAAATAGATTACTTAAGGGGCGCCTGGGTGGCTCAGTGGGTTAAAGCCTCTGCCTTCGGCTCAGGTCATGATCCCAGGGTCCTGGGATCGAGCCCCACATCGGGCTCTCTGCTCAGCAGGGAGCCTGCTTCCCCCTCTCTCTCTGCCTGCCTCTCGGCCTACTTGTGATCTCTCTGTCAAATACATAAATAAATAAAATCTTAAAAAAAAAAGATTACTTAAAAATAAAATCTTAAAGAAAATGTCCCATAAACTTTCTCGTCACAGAGCTCTTATGTCTGGGCTCAAATGCTATTGCTCTACGAGAACACTCTTGTTAACCATGTCCCAGCGTCATATGATTCTATATAACCTTCAACTCCACTTTGACTGAGAGAACTGGAGACTTTGGATACCAGAGGTGCAGGAACCTAATTAGACATCCCAAATACTTAGTTATCTGCTAGCTTTGTGCCCAGATGGGTCATATTTAAGGGATTAGAGGTCTAAGCTTTCTTGCACAAAGATATGATACTTGACTTAAAAAATGTTAAGGATGTATACTACAACTAAGGTTGATAACAAGCATTAATAACAATGACCATTAAAAAATGACAGTTAGGGGCGCCTGGGTGGCTCAGTCATTAAGCATCTGCCTTCAGCTCAGGTCGTGATCCCAGGGTCCTGAGATCGAGCCCCGAATCTGGCTCCCTGCTGGGTGGGAAGCCTGTTTCTCCCTCTCCTATTCTCCCTGCTTGTGTTCCCTCTCTCATTGTCCCTCTGTCAAATAAATGAATAAAATCTTTTGAAAAAATGATAGCACATATTGAATACTTACTATATACCCAGAATTATTTAACAAAGAGAACTATTATTATCTCCATTTGATAGGAAACTGAGGCACAGAAACTAAGGCACAGAATGGCTACGTAACTTCCCAAGGTTACATAGCTAGTCAGTGGTAGTCGAAATTCAAATTCCATCAGCTTGCCTCCAGAGTCTCTGTTTTTACCCTCTACACAATAAAGCCTTTTGGAACAAATAATCTTGGTATTAACCCATTAGATCATGCCATTTTAAATGAAGCTGCATATTGACAGGACACAGTGACAGCAAAAAGCACTCTTTAAGTAATTGGAAGGGGTTATATTTCTCCAGAAATGACAGGAAACAGGTTAACAAAGTCCTCAAAGCAGGAGAATTTTACCGTTGTTTGAAGGTAAGTTCTATCCCTTAGTAATTTGACTTTTGGATACAAGAACTTAATATTTCTACATGGTTTTCCCTGTTAAATAGCAAAACTTACCTTAAAACAACGGTGAAAAGTCTCCAGCTTCTCTCAGGCTTTCAAATGCTGACCATCACTTCCTGTGTCAAACTATGTCAGCAGACAGGACTTCTGGCTGGGAAGTAGCAGTAAAATGCCATCTCCCACAGAGAGACATCAGCACTATTCACAGTCAGGGAGATAGTGAAACAGTGACAAGTACTGCTAAAACACGGTTAAGGTTTGTTTAGTTTCTACCTAGCGTAAAGACTGGGAGTTCGAACTAGATTTTACATGTTGGCTTATCAAGGACAAATTATTAAAGACAGTCTTTCATTTCTCAGCCATAACACGGACACGCTGTCTCCCTAGCACACTGAAAAGAGGGTCTTTTACTTTAAAAATACAACAAGGTAAAAATGTGAATAAAAGAAACCCTTTAAGTTGTGCCAGTAAGGTTATCCTAACTCTTAGGCATAGGCTGAGAAGTTTTCTAGACTAGAAATCATATGGTCTTAAAAGATGCCTAGAATATGTAGCCAGAGATATAGGAAATCATGCTGTTATGAAGGGCAACACACACATCAAAACCAAAATCAAAACCAAACCAAACAAAAAAACACCTGCAAAACAAATCTAAAAACTCACAGATCATGAGGTCCCTAGAAGTAAGGGAGCAAAAAGCACCTTTTTCTCAGGGACGATTTACCATTTCTTTTAGCATTATCTCAAGACCTAATGGTAGCACATTAAAGAAGTCTAGCTGTTGGCAAGACTTCTGGGTTTATTTCAGATCGACACCTGCCACATTAAACACTATAAAACCACATGTGATCATTACGGTGGGGAGGGAAAGATCCGCATTATTCAAAATGTAGACTGTTTATTTGCAGCCTATGGATATAACAGGTAATGACAACATACCTTGTAAAGCTTTTGGATATGCTGTAGGAGAAAGCAAGCAGACTAGTGGCTGTCCAAATAAGTTTGTGAAATTCTGTAACATATAAGAATTTAAAACTTTCATTAAAAATTTGACTAAAGATGGTTACTCAAGTAATTTTCCAAAGCACGTCATTAGTGTATATAGGGCCCTTTTACTCATAAGCAGATGCAGAAACATCAGTAACAGCTGAACAGACTGCCATCCATGTATAACTACCATGCGTAATAAGCGTTCTTAAAATAGTGAAGATTACTAAAAATAAACTATTGACTTCTAAAATAAAGGCATACAAATAGTTGCAGTGTTATAGGGAGAGGTCATCTGGCTGTCTGTCAAGAGACCACCCCAAAGGGTGATATACACCAATATTTACAAGGGTGGATTTTCCAAGCTCTAGAATCTGGCTCTCAGCCTCAAAGGCTCTAAAACCTGACTTACTGGGGAGCAATCAGAGAAGACTGCAATCATTTCTCATTGTAAACCAAATTAACTACTCAAACAGAATGACGTATAAAACCAGAATGTCAATAGGTTAATGTACAGTGAGGATTAAAGCTGATACAAACACTAGAACACTGTTTGACTAAGGATATCCATTCTCTAAAGGATGGAAAGACACAATATGCTCTTAGAGAGAAACCCATTCTAAAGATATTATTACACTAATTTATGGAAATTTGAACCAACCTCAATAAAAATGGCCACAGCTATTTTTTCCTGCAACTGAAAAAAATAATTCTAAAGTTCATATGGGAAAAGTAGATTAGCCAGGAAAGCTCTGAAAAAGAACAAAGAGAGGGAACTAGACTCATGAGATATTGAAACATACTTTAAAGCCTCATAACTAAAAATACGTGGCACTGGCGTTAAGAGTAGGCAGAAGACTAATGGAAGAGAACAAAGAATCCAAAATTAGACCCTCAAACAGGTAAGACTTCAGTATATATGATAAAGATGATAGGTCAAATTAGGACATAGGAAAATTTGGCTTAGTTGCAAGAGCATGGCACACGTGCAACTCTTGATCTCAGAGTCATGAGTTCGAGTCACATGTTGGGTGTAGAGATTACATAAAATAAATGAACAAAATAAAATTCTGAAGAAAGTGGGAAAATCTGATGGCTAGATGGCTATCCAGTAGGGGAAAAAACTGGATAGCCATCTAGAAAAAAGTTGGCTCCATACTTTGCACCACCCATGGATAATTCCAAATATATTAAAGATTTAAATGTAAAAAAAATTAAGAAAGAAAAGTGCTGAAAGAAAATAAGGCTTTTTTTTTTTTTTATATAATCTAGAAGATCTTCCTAACTATTATGATTAAGATTAATAGACCACGGGATGCCTGGCTGGCTCAGCTAGAAAAGCAAGCAACACTAGATCTTAGGGTAAAAAATTCAAGCCCAATGTTGGATGTAAAGATTACTAAAAATATATATAAATAAACTTTAAAAAGATTAATAAACCCAGTTACAAAATCAAAGGCTTGTGCATAGTAAAATACAGCATAAGCTAAATCAAAAGCAAAATGATGAACTGGGGAAAATATTTGCAAGGCACATTACAAAGATTAAGCTCCTTAATATAGAAAGAGCTTCTCCAAACCCACAAGAAACAGACCACTGATCCAACAGAAAAATGAGTGGAAGATAACAAGGAATTCACAGAAAAGGGAATACAACTGGCTCAAATACATGAAAAGATGTTACAATATCACTTTTTAACCTACCAGTTTAGCAAAATTTCCAAAAGCTTGAGAATATATACTACTGGCAAGAATATGGGGATACAAATACTCATATGTAGATGATAGGAGTATAAACTGGAACAAATTCTTTAGAAGACAATTTGACAGTACCTATATTCCACTAATGCAGGAATTCTACAACTAAAAATTTATACTACCAATAAATTCTCAAACCTGTGAATAACATTAAGCCCAAATTTACTCCTTGTAGCACTGGTAATAACAGGAAAGATTAGAAACAACCAAATGACCAGCAACGAGGGATTGGTAAAATAAATTTTGGCACAACCATATGATGGAGTACTATGCAGTTATTAAAAAAAAAGGGGGGGGGGCGCCCGGGTGGCCCAGTGGGTTAAGCCGCTGCCTTCGGCTCGGGTCATGATCTCGGGGTCCTGGGATCGAGTCCCGCATCGGGCTCTCTGCTCAGTGGGGAGCTTGCTTCCCTCTCTCTCTCTGTGTCTGCTTCTCTGTCTACTTGTGATCTCTCTCTGTCAAATAAATAAGTAAAATCTTTAAAAAAAAAAAAAAAAAGAACTTGGGGCGCCTGGGTGGCTCAGTGGGTTAAGCCGCTGCCTTCGGCTCAGGTCATGATCCCAGGGTCCTGGGATCGAGCCCCGCATCGGGCTCTCTGCACAGTGGGGAGCCTGCTTCCCTTCCTCTCTCTCTGCCTGCCTCTCTGCCTACTCGTGATCTCTCTGTCAAATAAATAAATAAAATCTTAAAAAAAAAAAAAAGAACAAAGAAGTTCTTTATGAAGGGATATGGAAAGATCTCCAACATTTTTTTGTTTGTTTGTTTTTTGAGGGAGAGAGAGAGAATCTTAACCAGGCTCCATGCCCAGCATGGAGCCCAATGCAGGGTTTGATCTCAAGACCCTCAGATCATGACCTGAGGCAAAATCAAGAGTTGGACGCTTAACTGACTGAGCCACTCAGGCACCCCTCCAACATTTCTCACTAAGTGGAAACAAAGTAAGCTATAGAACAGTTGTATGTAGCATGTTACTGCCACTTACATAGCTAAGAAGACTAAAGCCTATATATTTGTTTTGGCTTACATATATGTTTTAAAAAATTCTAGAAAGATAAACAAGAAACAAACAAAAGTCATTATCCAGAGAGAGAGAAAGAGAAAGAGAGGGAGAGAGAGAGAGAGAGAAACTGAGTGAACTGAGACTGGGAGGGTTAAGGGGTATCATAATAAGCCTTTTGGAAATTTTTGTTTTTGTGACTTTGTGAATATCATATCAATATAAAAAAATTAAACAAGTAAATTCATAATTTCTTGCAATCAATACAAAGGGAGTAAGTAGAATGATATTAAGGAACATTTTTCAGATTAAGGCACCTTGAGCCATTTATCTACACTGAGAGATGGCCTTCTGGATCTTTGGCCATGATACTCTTATTCTTGGATAGTGTTGGGATGCAGATGGCCTTATTTATGTTCCAAGGTCTCCTTTTTCTTTGCTTCCCTTGTTGATCAACCTTTCTTTTCTTCTTCCCTTTTTTTTTTTTTTTTTTTTTTTTTTTTTTTTTTTTTTGAATACTGTGTGGAGACAGTTGCTTAACAAGCCTGACTGCTATCTTTTCAAAGTCTGCTTACAAACTTCGACACCCTGCTTACAAGGCTGGTGGTAGGCTGGCTTCTGGGGACTTAGATTTGAGGAGGGTTCCCACCATTAGCAGAACTAGTAAGAGCAGTTTCCTTTCCCTGGACTGTATAAACAACATGGTTTATGCTGAACACCTGCTTTTTTTCTGGGAGAATGGCATTTTAATATGTGCCAGGCAGAGGGTGCCCACACAATGAGTCCCCAGTGAAAACCCTGGGCACCGAGTCCCTAGTGAGCCTTGCTGGTAGACATGTCATCCATGTTATCTCACTTGCTGCCAGAAGAACTGAGTACATCCTCTGTGACTTCACTGGGCGAGGCCTCTTGGAAGTTTGTGCCTGCTTTTCTCTGGACTTGATCGCATGTGCCTTTTTCTTTTGAGATTTTGCTCTGTATCCTTTACTGTGATAAATCTTAGTAGCGAGTGTGATTATAAGCTGAGAATTACCAGTTCTCATGAATCGCTGAGCCGGGGTGGGGGGTCCTGACCTTGGGGACCTCTGACTTCTTCCTATCAGATTATATTTAAATATTAGGTCTGGGAAACAGTTTCTTTGAGATACCTTGCACATCTCTAGTCTAACCCATTTGGTATTCAATTTTATAGTGTAACTCCCATAGTATTATCTTATTTTCTTTATTTTCAAGTTTTTGGGAATGTCATAATTGCCCCCATATAGGGATTATATGATTTAATGCTATTAAGGCAGACGCTTAAGGGATGAGACACCCAGGTGAACCTCAATGCTTTTTAAAAGATTTTATTAATTTATTTGACAGAGAAAGAGTGAGAGAGCACAAGCAGGGGGAGCAGCAGGCAAAGGGAGAAGCAGGCTCCCCACTGAGCAAGGAGCCCAACTTGGGGCTCAATCCCTGGACCCTGGGATCATGTCCTGAGCCAAAGGCACAGGCTTAAATGACTGAACCACCCAGGCACCCCTCTCTCTTTTCAATATTTACACTTCTTACTAGTCTGGACAACCTTTTTCATTGCTTTATTTTGGGAATGTTAAACAATTCTGGTCAGGACTAAAATAAGATCAATCACAAGGATGATAGCAGGCACTCTCTTTTTCTTGCTTATTTTAACTGAGAATACTTTTAATGTTTCTCACTCAGAGTCTAAAATTGGTGACTTAGTATAGTACCTTCTCATCATAAGCTGAGTTTTTTAGTTTTTTTTTTTTTTTAAATTAAGAAGGGGTACTGGGGAGGAGGGTGCCTGGGTGGCTTGGTTGTTGGGCGTCTGCTCTCGGCTCAGGCCGTGATCCAAGGGTCCTGGGATCGAGCCCCACATTGGGCTCCCTGCTCAGCGGGAAGCCTGCTTCTCCCTTTCCCACTCCCCCTGGTTCTGTTCCCTCTCTCGCTGTATCTCTCTCCGTCAAATAAATAAATAAAATCTTAAAAAAAAAAAAAAAAAAGAATGAGTACTGGGGGGATGCCTGGGTGGCGCAGTTGGTTAAGTGTCTGACTCTCGGTTTTGGCAAGGTTGTGATCTCAGGGTCACGGGATGGAGCCTCGAGTGGGGCTCCACGCTCAGCATGGGTGTCTGTCTTCCCTTCCCTTTACCCCCCGCCACCACCACATTCTCTCTCTAAAATAAATAAATAAATCTTAAAAAAAAAAAAAAAGTGTGTACTCAGGGCACCTTGGTGGCTTAGTTGATTAAGTGTCCAACCCTTGATT